ATCCAAACACCATCGGCTTGTACTTCAACGCCAGTTTTACATTCCTTTCATCTAACCTCAGCTTTTTATACAACCTTTCTTCTACCATTGCCAAAGATATAGCCTCCACTGTTGTCTTGATGGTTATACAATAGATGCGATCTCTGAATTTGAAATGTAAGCACATGTGTTTCGACATTGCATCCTGCAAAAACAACAAGATAGAGTTATAGTTATACCAGTTGCTCTTTGTTCTACATAGTTTTAATCAGTTATACTAGTTTTACCTATTTCTTTTTCAACTACAATCAATTGAAATTGTTCTCAATTGAGGTTTCGGGTACTATAAACTCAATATCTCAATCCAATACATTCAACCATATGCTTGCATTGTTTCACATGAGGTAATTGCTCCACATACCAAATCTCATCTCAAAATAATCATATATATATCCAATTACAAACCCAATCGAGTAGGTAGAAGAGAGGAGAAGAGAATAGAACCTGCATTCTGGCCTACTACTCTAAGCCTTGCTGGTGGAAATGTTTTCGTCCGGCTGCGTCCTCCTGGAGAATCTACCAACGTCTTCCAAGCTCGAGCCAAGAGGATCCGATAAATGGGGACAATGTCGATGATGAGCGGAGCTGGAGCTGGGAGCTTTCTTGATTTCTTTTTTTTTTCATTTAATNGAAGAGAATAGAACCTGCATTCTGGCCTACTACTCTAAGCCTTGCTGGTGGAAATGTTTTCGTCCGGCTGCGTCCTCCTGGAGAATCTACCAACGTCTTCCAAGCTCGAGCCAAGAGGATCCGATAAATGGGGACAATGTCGATGATGAGCGGAGCTGGAGCTGGGAGCTTTCTTGATTTCTTTTTTTTTTCATTTAATTCATTTCAATTCAATTGAAATCCAATTCGATTTCAAAACCGAAACCGAGATATCCCAAACCCACCTCAACCCAAACCAGTAACACACAAATTGCTCCATTCGATTTTGCAAATTTTTTTTTTTTTCGCCCACGAAGGGCTTTTTTGTCTTTTCATCATTCATTAACTCAAGAGGGGCATAGGCGATTGAGGGAGCCCATAAGGGATTTTGCCTTTCACATTTAAGGGCAATGGAGCAATTGCCTCTTCTTCTTCGTCTCCACAATACAGGAATCTCTGCTTCCGTTCCAATCCTTTCATGTACTCCTCAAATAGGACAATTAACTCTTCTACAAATTTAAGCTCAACGAAGTTCTCGACCTTTTCCTCTCCCTTAACAAACAATGAAACCGTCGAAACACATCACCTCCTATAAATTAGAGAAGCCAGAGAGAGCCCTCACCCCTATCAGAACCAGAAAAATTTACTTACCTATCAAACCTAAAAAGGAAATCCAAGAATGACTTCGGTAGATGATATCGTTTCCCAACCAACAGCCGCACACTCAACTTTTGCCCACCTCTGTCTCGGACAATCTCCCCAGATCATTGTGGCTCGCCTCCTCCGAGTTTTTGAGGAATCGCCGACCATGAACAACGACAGTGAAGCCAGGGGAATCACTATACTACTACTTGATGAAAAGGTTGCCTCCCTTTCAGTCCTACTCGATCTCTGTTTTATTTTACTGCTACAACCTGCAATTAAGCTATAAAATGATCTCATGCAGGATTCAACTATCACTGGATTCATACCGGCGGCTGCAGCCAATCGGCACAGAGAAGCTTTGAAAGAGGGGGTGATCATCAAAGTGACCAATTTTGAGGTCAAAAAATGCCAACATATGTTCAAAATCACAGAGCATACTCATGCCATCCGCTTCACCTCCCAGACCACTATTGATGAAGTCATGAATAATTATCCGGCTATCAACCAACAGAGATTCATGGTTCGGGGGTATGAGCACCTACAAATCCTTGCCAATACAGATTTGGAACTACCTGGTATATATAAAACATAAAAGTATTTACATATCATTGAACAGCTGTTGGGGGTATGTTACATATCTTTCTCCAATGAGTTTTGATCTTAAGCAGTATCTATACATGTTACAAAAGTATTTACATAGAATCTTGGAATTATTGAGACATACAACACCTACGGGTTGAAGAACCCTAGTCTCTTATAATAAAGTTGGCTTTTTCACTCTTTGGGGAGAAAATGACACGTGTCACATTCTTTTAATGATATTTTTATATTTATTATACTTAACAAATTTTAGTTTAATTAATGAACCAATTAAATGCTAATAAAAATTTAAACATTAATTAAAAAAATCTATTTCATTATTATTTTTTTTTAGTTTTCTATTTAAACGAAAATTTACAAATAATTTTAATATATATTTTTATTTATGAACAAATGATATATATATAAGTTAATGTGATTTTTTTTACAATGTACTTATATTTAGTTTATTTTTTCTTAATATTATATATGCATTTATATTGTAATGGTGATATATGATTTATTATTTATAAAATATTTCTAAAGTTTTTCTAAAATAAATATTTATACATCTCTTATATAATAAAGTAGAGTGTTTTCTCTTCATAGAGGCAAAAGATGATACTTGTCATTCTATCATTTGTTGAAAGTGTTTTAGGTCAAACTATAAAAACCTTTTATTTTATTTGAAGTTTTATTGCTTTTACAAATGATATGATTTTTAATAAATATTTTTAGTCCAGTAAATTTTTAAAAAAAAAACTTTCTCACTTTCAACCTATTCTTCAAGATGGATGACAACTTTCATATCTCTAAATATGAAATATCTAAATAAATATTCTTGATTCTTATATCTGTTTGCTCGATTTAAAATCAATATTATTGATTCTTGGATATATTTTCATTTTGAAATCAATATCCTTGATTTCTAAAATATTTCCGTAAAATGAGAGTTTAAAAGAAAAGAAAAAGCTCTAACAAGAGTCAAACCAAAACGAGGAAAAACTGAATTACACAACAATTCTAAAACCGAAAGTAAAAAAAAAACGAAAAGAAAATTAAAATCATTTTTAAATCAACATTCTTGATTCTTAAATCTATTTGCCCGATTTTAAAATCATATAATTTATTAAGATTTGGATATCCTTGATTTTCGTAAAAAACTATTTTGATTTTGAAATCAATATCTTTGATTCTTAAATCTATTTGCTCGATTTTAAATCATATGATTTATCAAAGATTTCTAAATTCAAATGTTTTTTTCTAAATCCATTAAAATAGTGGAATCAATAACCCCCACGAAATGTTATCACATGTTTACTATAATTATTCAAGAATCAAAATTGTATTAATTATCAAAATGTCATGAAAGCATCTGTAATGTGTGTAAGCTTACAAAAAGTTCAGTATATAATTTTGTTTAAAACTATCAATTATTATAGACTCAGTGTAGTAGCATTATTGTAGTTATGAATGATTATATTACAAAATTTAATATACACTACTTTAATATACAATTGTTGGCAAAAATAAATATACAGTTATTTTTTTCAAAAAAGTTTTAAAATTTTAAACAAGACTAATACATATAAAGTTATATAAATTTGAATTATCAGGTATGATATTTTCTAGTCTGAAAATAAAGTTTAGACATGGGTTCAATGTTTATGATGGATAAAGTTATATTGCAGAGCTCTCACTGATCTGAAAAGCCAAATGTGTGGATAAATGTTTTGCAACTACACAAGATAGCTAGATGGATGTGGATATTTAATTTATGAATCCAGTCAGCTTCAAATAAATAGGAAGATTTTAATCTTACGCTGATTTATGGTATTAAAAACTCGCCCAACAATAGGAAGACCATACATATGGAAAAAAAGTTATGTTTTAAAAACTCAACCATTAAAGGACTATAACAAGATCACACTGAGTCCATTAAAAGGAGAAGTCTCTACTGCATTATTGAACTCAAACTTTAAAATAAAGATAGTAAATCAGTCTCCAAATTCAGTTTCCATCACTTAGACATTGGAACTTTCTTGGAAGTAGGAGGTGAAACAACAACTGCATTGTCGTCATTGCAGCCTGCAGAGGTGAAAGATGTGAATTCACACTGCAGCTTTCAGTAGCACTCTGAACATGAGATGTAACACCATCCATTAGTTGTATCAATTTCACCAACTTTGGTGGTGCAAAGAAACTTTGCAGTGTACAGGGTCCACAGTAGTTTGATAGTTATAAGCAAGCGGGCGTCATTATTTAAGGTCAAACATTTACCTTGACTACGAATTTAGTGAACTTACTTGTGGTGAAGAGTTTAGAACATAGCTGTTCAGGTGAGCAAGATCATTTTTTCTGTTTTCTCCAAGCCTCTTTACTTAGAAGACGTGGAGGTGCAACCATAATCAGTTATAGATAACCTATATATATTTCCTCTGGTTTGAGAACACGGTGTACCTAAATTATTAAAGAGAAGTTTGAGTTTTGAATCTATTACACTGCTAGAATACTCTGACCGGCGAGGCATTCATTGTCAAAATAAAAGTGTGTTCCCGAGGTTGAATTCAGAAAAAGCCAGTCTTGAATCAAACATGAGCAAGCAATTGAAATTGGTATGATGAGAGTGTTAGATCAATACAGAAAACAGATGATGCTCACCTCCTACTAATTTAAGGTTTATGTTTGTGGCAACAATGCCTTTAGGCTCCATAACCGATGCCTCTACTTTCTGATGTATCTGACTTGCAACCATATCAAACACACAAAGCACTAACCTTTGCTTTGTGAATAACATTAAAACATGAAAAACAAAGACCTTTTCCACTCATTGTTCATTACATAGTGATCTGTTTACGGGAAGAACACTCCTCTTTTTATACTTGGTAATCGACCATCTGTAATGAGAGAAAATGCAATGAATGAAAAATCGTGCTTGGAATGGGTTGAAAGAGTTAAGAATGTCATTAACTGTAATGAATCAATACGTCCCTTAATGGTTTAATAACGGTTTAGAGGAGAAGAATTTCAACCAAAACGACACGAACCGAACTCGATTCCAGAGACTCTTCACGAAGGGTCGTCTCACAAAACCATATGAACTTCATTGGCAGTTGAGAGATATGCAGAGATTGAAGAAGACGGTGAACCCCGATGGTTGCCTTCTCGAAGAAGATGATTGGACAATTGAGATGGGCTTTTGTTTTTTAACATCTAAGATAATAATCTGCAAAGCCCAAAAATGTATTACGTGAAAGTCATATATTAAGAAACAGATAACAAAGTACACGTGGACATTCCTACGTGTAATCCAACGTGTCACTCGTTAGGAGGAGTGAAACATGAGTTTATATAATAGATGTTCTGGTGTTGTGACATTAGTTCATTTTCTTTACATAATTCATTTTCTATATGTAAAATTCATTGAAAGGTCATTCTCAGGAGCCTGCTTCTTTATTACTACAGGAATTAGTAACAAAGATTTTAGTGAATAAATGTAGTACATAATTAGTAGAAAAAAATAGTTTGCAGGAAAAAAACTAAACATATGTAATTTCCATAAATGAACAACACTTTAAGCCATCTTTCAAAAATCTTCAATATCTTCATGTTGAGTACATTATGGATTAGTTTTTCTGTGCTTATAATTTTGATATATTATTTCTGTTTTATTTATTTAAGATTTGGTGTATTATTTTTATTTTTATTTTTTGTTTATTTAGTTTTTGTTTTGTGATATAATATTTTAATGAATGTAACTATAAACTTCATTTTAGTTAATTAAAATAAAATTTTAAAAACTAAACTATATTTAATTTATTTAAAATATAATTTTATAAATTTTTAAAATTAAAACATGAATTAAATGAAAATAGCCGCAACGTCTGCCAAACGAATAACATAAATCACTTTTCAACATCTTTGTGCAGAGTCTGCGTCAATGTCTTGCGTCTATGAAACAATCAATAATTGACGTTTGCGAATAAGTCACAATCAAATGAATAAACACTGCCGTAGCTGCAAACTCAGCCGCAGCCGCAGAAAACTGCATCAACCAAACAAACATGGCTATTGTATCTACTACATGTCTTCAAAACATTATGAAAAAAGTATGCATAGTGTTTTTTCAATATTGTATGAATTTTTCACTTGGTTTTGTTATAATGATATATTTTTGGTTTTGTAGATTATTAGCAGCTGATATTTATTGAACCTATACAGTTGTCACTGCCAACTTATTCTTTTCTTCTCTTGAACAAGTGGACAGCTCAATGTCCTTATCATGGCCATAAGTAGGGGTGGGACGGATCGGATATCCGGGGTATTTTGGGATATCCGGATCCGGATCCGGATTCGGCGGATCCGTAAAATTGATATCCGGATTCGGATTCGGGCCTTCCGGATATCCGGGGTTCGGATATCCGGACTAAAACTCAAATACCCGCGGATATCCGGATCCGTTTAAAAAAAATAAAAATTAAAAAATCAAAATTAAATTTAAAATTTTAAAATTAAACAAATATTCATTCAATTAAAAATTTATTTTTTTGCAAAAAGTTTAAAAATTTAATAAAACGAAGTTTTAGTTATTTTAATAAAAATTATATATAATATATCTATATAAATTTAATTATATTTTAAATATTTTAAAAATATTTAGTGGGCCCGGATCCGGATCCGGATATCCGGACTAAAATTTTCACTATCCGGATCCAGATCCGGATTCGCCGGATCTGTAAAATCACTATCCGAATCCGGATCCGGACCCCCCAGATATCCGTTTTCTCGGAGCGGATCGGGACGGATCCCGGATCGGATAGCGGATAGCAGATATTAAGTCCCAGCCCTAGCCATAAGGACACAACAGAGCAGTTTAAGACGTAAACACGCAAATACAAACTTCATTTGAAACAAGAAGGGTACTGTAAACATTGAGGATAAATTTAATAGGTATATCTAAACGTATATGTAACGTTTTAGCTTATGCTCGCAAAACGGTATGTTCATTGCTAA